TGTAAGAAAACATGTTTGTTTGATACAGACCAACAGATGTCGCATCATCATGATTCGATTTTATTTTTTCAGTGAAAATAGAAATTGTGGAAATGCAGCCCTATAATGTACAGCTGATGCTGATGGGAATTACATTAGTTTTAAAGGACAAGTGTGTAGGACACCGTGGCATCTAGCGGTGAAGTTGCAGATTGCAAACACGTAGGAGAAACTATGGTGGCCGCGCCCTATCTAGAGCCAGTATTTGTCCATTCTGGGCTACTGAAAACAAAAAAAATCCTATATTCTGGTGATTATTCACAAATAAAACATCCAGATGAATATACTATTTCTGCCAAAAGAGTCTTCTAAATGTTACACACTGGACCTTTAATACTCATGACCTAACGAAATTACAACAACTCATCCTGTGGGGAACATGAATGTCACGGCTACTCATCCAGTATTTGTGGAACAGAAAGAAAGAAAAGGAAACCTTATTTAGCCTCATGGCTGAATGGAAAGTCAGAGGATCAGCAAAGTCATTTTGGATTTATCCTCTGGGCACAAATAATGTACAAAATGACTCAGCAATCCAATAGTTAAAGATTCTTTAATCATACACCATCTGAGAAACAGCTAATTATTCAATATCCACTCTAAAATTTGGGGAATCCCAAGTTGGAACTTAAAATATATGCTGTATGTTTTGTACCTCACAAACCTACAGCACTGTCTGTCTTATTACTGAAACTCAATTAGCCTAATTTACCTTCATCCAAAGTGCAAGGAGTATTCACACATCCAGCTTCCACAAATGGACTGACCATCAGTCACATACTGCTGGATCATATAGATGAGTGGGAGCGATGTGGGCAGACACTGCAAACAACAACGATAACCTGAACACAGGCAAACAATTTTGGGCACAGCGGACTGCAAAAGCCTGAGATCTATTCCCATCCTCCAAATGATTCACTGACATTCATTTTCTGCAACAGCGTCCTTGCTTTCTGTCGAACTACATCTCCCTTTGGAGTGCAGCGGGTCTCACAGAACACCTCATCAGTTTTACAGATGCACCCACCCGTGTTCCTATTTACTTCAGTCTGTTCCCATTCATCATCTGATATATCTAATCACGTCTCCGGGGCAGTCCTGTCACTCTGTAGTGACCTTCCAGCGGAATAAGGGCATACAATAAGACAGGACGAAATGGGGAAACTACACACAGTCAGACTGCCACACACACACACACACACACAGGATGAGGAGTGTAGACTGGTCATCATAAGAGACGCGTAAACAGGAATTGAGAGACAAAGTTGTATGTAATCTCTCTGTTCCAGATGCAAAATTCATACAAACTCACAAACACCCTTTTGCCTAGAGACACACAGACACAGACACAGACACAGAGACACACACACACACACACACACACACACACACGGTTGTCTCCAACAAAAACTAAACCCTTTGGGTTAACTCAAGCTCCCTGAGCTGAACAAACTCCACTGAGTCACTCAGACAGATGCAAAACATTGTGTACCTAAATTCACCTTCACTTCCCCTGAGGTGGAATGGACGTTAGTTTAAGGAGCACGCAAACACTGGGCCTGGCCGTGCACACGTACATGCACACACACACACATTGACTCAGCAGCAAAGTGTCATCTCTCCCACCACAGTGCGATGAACAAAAGTGAACGAGGGATCATTTTTAACTCTAATAATGACTGAGTTCATGGCTGCGTCCGGTCTTCTGTTGGTTAGTGTGATTCTAATCTGATCCAGTTGTCTGTCTCCTAATGGCCCACTCACACCCACAAAATCAATTCCTTTCAATGGAGACGCTGTGATCAGTTGATTCGCTCACGGGGGGGGGGGTTAGTTAATCTGCAGGAATGTTTCACGTCGAGTTCAGCATCGGTGAACTCTTGACATGCAGTCACTGGCCAGTAGCATAGTGTCTTGACTGTGCTGACCTTTATAGGGACGGCGAGAGCCCACAATGGAGGAAGTTATCGTTGCTTATTAGCCGTGTTGCATCGTCTATTTTTATTAAACGCCACTCTTTCGCAGTACGAACTGCTCCACACTGAAAACATGGGTTTTTAAACAGTTACGAGAGTTTATGGTACAAATATGTTTTGGATAAACTGTGTGAACCTTGCTAACTTTATTGTGACTAACGCTGTTAGCTTCACTGAGGCAGTAATTGAGGAGTTTATTTTCACTCTTACTAAGATTTAATACAAAACTGTTCAAACATATTCTGCCCTCTATATCCCTGTGGCTGTTACAGAAAACTGTGCGTCACTACGTGGGATGAACTCTGTCCTATATTCATTTTTAGGTAAACTTTGTGCATGTATGAGTACAAAGTCAAATGAAAGGTTATCAGTTCATTCCTATTGTGGCCCCCGCCTATGTTCCCCTCAGGTTGTTACAGTATTCGAATGCATCTTTAACACCCATTGTAGACGGCTGAATTATACTCATTACAGTAATTAAAGTTGATGTAAGGACACCAACAAGATTAGGGGTATATGGATTTCAAAATCCAATTAGCATGGGAGGACATCTTTTATATTGTCGGGGTCAGTTAGAGGGGCCGGTGAACTTAGGAGCCGTAACCAAAGGTCAACAAAGGGTCAAAGGTCATTATGCTCCACATTTGCATGTTTCTACATGTTTGTGCACAGGGTCTCTGCTGAATAATCAAATCAATTAGAATACATTTAAAAAATAATCAGTGCATCTACCATGACACTGGAATTTTAAGCTCCAGGAAAAATTCTTCGTGCTAACCTGCCATATCAGATGTTGGCACGGTCTCACCAAATGTACCTGTTTCTCGAGGTGAGAAGAGGGAAGTAGAAGTAGAAAATATGATGGACTGGTAAGGCCACAGACCCAGACCAGCATCCCCGACAACCTATTATCTTAAGTGTCCCTGCCAGCAGCCAATCTGATAAGACACTCGCTCTGACTCTTACGCATCACTCGCACTGTGTTTGAATGTGTGCAAACACGTACTGTATCTGTGAGCACAAAGGACAGAAAAGTGCCCCAGTCAAAACCTGCTGCTGAGAATACAAACATACAGAAGCTTTCTGTCCACTTACACTCCACTTAACCATCATTTTATCCAGAGACAGTCAAATAAGCACACACTTTTTCAGGACATTTAAACAGGAAAAAAAAACACACACACAGCCACGGAGCACTTCCACTGGAGGAGACGGGGGTGCAGCATTTCACCCAAGGGCAACTTGGAAGTACTTTTAAAAGAGATGGTGATCAAAGTTCTAGCAGTTAAGACTGTTAAAAGTGAATCGTGCATCCCTGAAAGATGGCTCGGAACTTGTGGCATGATGAAAATGCAACCCCTTGCTTATTGTCAGATAATAAAAGCCTGGGCTGGGACTCGTGAACAAACAAAGGTCTGCTGCTGAGCTGGAGCTCTGACTAGAGATGATGCTATTGGGAACAGGAAGGCAGACAGGCTTCCTCTGCTACCATCTCTGCTCATTTCAGTACAAGGGAGAGAGAGGCCAAAGCCATGTTTTTGAGTATAATGGACAAAACCTGACCATGTCACTGTAGATACTTATATTTAGAGACTGGAAGTACACTGAAATATTGCATTTACAGTCTACTGATTAGATATCTAGATGATACAGGTAGATATCTAGATGAAGATGAGAAGAAATAACTAGGCCAGGGGTATAAGGGTCAACAGCATACTGTCTGTAAAACAACTTAATGCTTCTGGAATCCATATCTCTGTATCTCTATATAAAAAGATAATAAATATGTGCCACATGAAGACGCAGCCAGGCGATCGTTTTTAACTCATTTTACAAGACAAGAGCATAAACCAGATGCCAAACCTTGTAAACCCTTGTACTATTTTCTGTCTGACATTTTTATGTCTATTGGACAGCTTTAAATAGCACAAGTACAGGATTCTTTTTTCTGCCATACTACTTCAGTGGTACAGTAAAGCTGGAATGTTTCTACAACCCAACGGACTCCCTAAGCGGGGCTCGTGCGGGAACACACACTTAAAGATTT